CAAAATGGTTCTATATTATCCATCTGTTCATACCTTTATTAAACAACTATTATAAGCTAGGTGTCTGAGTTCATACTGAAGCCTATTTTAGAAAGTAAGAGCATCATTTAGCAGACATCATTTTGGAGCATCAGTCTAATTTCTATCCCTACTTTCAGTCCATAGTATCCCCATTCTCCCACTCCCTCTTAAAGTCAAGTTTGATCCCTCCTCTCCATTATAGAATTAGTCACCGAATTTTATTAATTATTCCTTTACAGTGGTTGTGGCCTGACTTCCAAGGTAAGATTTCTGATTAAAAACAAGCATTTATCCCTTCTTCTCTCTTCAAATATCACTGAAATGACAGAATAAAAATAAGAATAAAACTAACCCAATGTGTCATACATACAATGACAGAAATGTTGCCATAAGTAGACTAAAAGAGTAAGGAGTTTCTGGAAAATAAAACTAGAGATCCAATTAAAAGTAAAATCTCAGCAGCATAGTTGCTGACAAATTCACAACCTCATGAAGGTAAATAAAATATGGCCTTCCAAAAAAGTGAGTTTTCCCAACAAAAGCTTAGGATGAACCCAAAACCAGAAACAGTAAAGATTATGAAAAACAAAAAGCCAGATATAGGTAATTAATTAATTAATGCATTTCATTATTTCCCCAGGAAATAAGATACTATAAATTAAAGACTAAATCAAGCATTCTACTAGAGGTTCAAACCAACACAATAAGAAAAATAAAAGGAAGTAATATGTGTATATTGAAAAGAATAAAGAAAAAGGTTATTATTTACAGTGTGACTATATGATCAAGATATCAAAAAAACTCTATTAAGAAATTACTAGAAGCAATAATAGAGTTTGGGAAGGTGGCCAAATATAATACCAATACATAAAAAGTAATAGCTTTCTTAATTAACAAAAGTAACAAAATATAAAAGTTTTTATTTTAAATATTACTATCTAATAGCAACAAAACTATAAAATACCAAATAAAGAAACCCAAATTGTACAAAGCCTATGTAAATAAAACTATAGAACCTTACTGAACAACATAAAAGAATAAATAAGGAGACAAAACATGTTCTTGTAAGGGAAGACATATTACTTTAATTATATCAATTCTGTTCAAATTAGTCTGTAAATTAATAAAATCCTTTAGTTTATAATGAAGGTGTTATTTCAAATTCAATAAATTGTGTTGAATCAGCTGGCTATCTGGAAAGTATAGGAAATTATACAATTTGTGCATTTGGTACAATCACTTGATAACATAAGTAGTTTGGGCAAGGTTCTTATTTTGAAGAATAGAACTGGATAAGATTATTTTTAAGGTTCTTTATAGATTGAAAGTTTCATGAATTTATTATTATTAATTCTAGGATGTTAATTTCTAACCATTCCAACCCAAAATGTGAACACCTACAGAAACTCTCCAATTCTGTCACTTACTGTGCCCTTTCTTTGCAGCTAATACTATAGCATGTTCCCTATGCCTTATCACCCCAGTTATCTCCTCAAACACAGAGACCAGTCAGTGCTGAACATATTTAAATAATATTTACAAAAAGAAGATGAAGACATAAATGGGGGAGGGTGTTAAAAAGGAGAAATTTTTTAAAATGATGAACTGCTTATAGAGAAAAAAGTAGATTTATTTACCTCATTCAGACCCACTACTTAAAAGCCATCTAAATTAATGACCTCTAAGAGAGAACTCTTCATCTTCACCCCAAAATATATTCCTTCCCCAATCTTTTCCACTTCAGTAAATGACACCAAAATTAACCCAGTTGCTTAACCTAAAAAACCAACAAAGGAATACCCCTCACAACCAACAAATCAGCACATTCTACTGATTTCACCACCAAAGTACAGCTCTTATCTATCTACTTCTGTCCTCAACTGCAGCCACTATCAACTCTTTCCCAAACGCCTACAATTACTTTCTAAGTGGTTTCTTTGTTTTCACCCTCATTGCTCTATTTTCCACACAATGGCTAAAGTGATCTTTTAAAAATGAAAATGAAATCAGATCATTCACCAGCTTAAAAACCCTCCAAAGACTTTCGATTTCACTCATATTTATGTAAAGATATAAACATTAAAAAAAACAAAAGAAGAAATATAAAATTTACATAAATGGAAGAATAAGGTGAAATCATATATTAATAAAATGGATTTTAAGCACAGAGTTTTTTTGTTTTGTTTTGTTTTTTTGCTTGCCTTTTCCTAAACCTCTACACATATATCCACACTCCATCTCCAAATAACCTATTTTAACAACACAGTATATATCTTTCTTTATTTTCCTTCTTGCTCATATTAGCATATATAGAAAACAAAAGACATAGGGATGTTTGTCAGTATTTTAGCAAAATGAGTTCGTGTACACAGTTTTACAAAACTGGTTTTTCTCAGTAATACCTCACAGAAATTCTTCCAAGTCAATGTAAAAGTCTACTGCATTCTTTTCAATGACCCCACCATATTCTTTAGTATGGATGTAGCATAATGTTTGAAATCCTCCCCCTATTGCATTTGCTTTGTTTCCAGGGTTAAACTAATATAATCAACATTGCAAAAAATACCTTCTACCTACATCCTTATATTAATATTTATTTATATTTGATAGATTTCTAGACTAAGATTTCTGAATCAAAGGAGGATTTTAATTTTAAGAAATGCTAACCAGGTTTCTTTCCAAAAGGTTGAACTATCTCACAGTTCCACAAACAGTGTGTTTCAGTATCCTGCCTCCATCCCCACCTGAAACAGATGCTATCACATTTTTCATTTTGTGGTAGTTTAATAAGTGTATGTCATTATTATTTCAATTTGAAATAATTTTTTAGATATTTATTCCATTTAGCCTTCCAGGCCACAAATTTGGATTTCAAGAACAACAACCGTCTTTTTAAATTGACCTACTGAATTTTCAAACTTGAAAATTACGTTTTTCAGTTCCTTATAGTCATTTTTGTTTTTGTTTTTTTCTGTGCCTGAGTATTCTTATGTGTGCTTTTTTGCCATAGTTCAAGGTGCTGTTTCCTCCAGCAGTTCTGTTTTGCTGAGCACCTGATCTGTTTTATTTCCCCTCTGCCTGCTGGGCTCATTATTTGCATTATCATTTTTCATGTTTTGTGTTGGATTATGGGAGCCATTGTCTTGTTATTGGAGGCAGTTGCACAAGAGGGAAGGTGAGATGTTCTCAAGCCCTATAGGATAAAGGTCAGGCAGTGGGCATTCTGCCTGTCCATGCCAAACCCCACAAGGAAGCCCTCCAGCTCTCCGTTTTCTGCCCACTCAGAAGCAAGGAGGGTTCAGCCTTCCCTGTGCAGTTCCTTACTGCCATCTGCGGAGCCACGGATACTCACTCACTTGGACCAGCGTCAGCCTTACTCCTGGGTGTCCACAAACCTGTTGGCCAAGCTCTTCCCAAGGCTTGTTGTGATTCTTTCTCTGCACAGGACTCTCAGACTGTTCTCTAGGCTCTTGCCTGGCCCATGGGAGACAAAGTTCCTCATCACCTCCCTGCTTCCTTGACTCCCATAAATCTCAATTCCACTTGGCCTAGGGAGAGGCAGATATATTGGAATTAGGAATAGAAAGAAAAAATAGGATATAGTTTAGTTATCATGTTGTCAGGATTCCTCCATTCATTACATTTAAAAATAACATCCAAATTCCTTAACACGGCCTACAAGGCCCTCTGTAATGTCTTCCCTACTTATCTGGGCAATGTCAACTTATATACTTTTTTCTTGCTCACTTTATTTGAGTCACAATGACTTTGCTTTTATCCCTCAAATATACCTATCTCATTATTACCTAGGACTCTCAAAACTGTTGTTTTTCCATCTAGAATACTCTTCTCCCCTCTATTGCTGACTTTTCATCTTCTCAATTCTCACTCAAATGTCACCTCTTCAAAGAGGCTTTATTTGATCACTCCCCTGAGTCACTCTATCTCATTATTTTACATTCTTTTTTTTTTTTTGAGACAAGGTCTCACTATGTTGCCCAGGCTGGTCTCAAACTCTTGGGCTCAAGCGATCCTCCCGCCTCAGCCTCCCCAGTAGCTGGGATTACCGGTGCAAGCCATGGCCCCCAGCTGCATTATTTTACATACTTTATATCATTTAATCTATCTAACATTATCATATTTATGTATTTATTTCTTGATCTGTTTATTATGTTTCCTCTACTGGATCACCAAGAAAGTATGACTCTATCTATGTTGTTCATAGTTTTCTTTCAATAGATATTTACTGATTAAATGAACACATTCCAATTGCTTTGGAACAGGAGAAAATATATAAATTAAATATTTTGTCGATTCCAACAATAAGCACTATTTATTTATGAGGCCTGTCTTTGCCAAAGTAAAAGCCAGGGACAGGGCAATTTGTTATTTGGTAATGTGTAAAGGTCCTACTGTGGGAAGTCATCCATTAGATTTGAGAGATCAAGGGGCAGTCAAGAAACTGATTCTTACATAAAATTTTTCTGAGAGATTTTTACTGTATCCCATGTTTAACCTGTCAGTGGCATATAATTGAAAAAGTAGGAGAAATAGATTGCAATCCAGGCACTAAAGGGCTCTGCCACAGTACAAAAAAATATTAAAAACATCTCCTTCTGGGGACATTTCTGTTAAGTTTTATGGAATTGTTATTCAATAAAAGACTAAACATGTTGGTAAACAATGTCAATTGGTCCTTTGAATTCACCTCTTCAAAATATTCTGCCCTGTCATGCTACTCCAAATGATCTGGAAAAATTTGAACACTATATATTTGATGATATCAAGGAATTATTTAATGCCTGGGATGTGGAGAGGCAAACCTGAAACAGGTTTGGCCATATATTGATAACTGGTCAAGGTGAACGATGGGTACATGATTTGTCATACTATTGTTTGGTTTTGTATATATTTGAAGTTTCCAAAACAAAAACTTTAAAAAAAAATCATAAGTCATTATCTGTTTTTCTTTTTAATAGATAAATGAAATATTTCATGGATCCAAATTGAGAAGGCAGTATGTCAAATCTCATGTTGTCCAAGTAAGGTACGTACAATAGCCTGAGAGGCACAGAGAAAAACTTTTGTCCTTTACTTCCCCATCTCATACTCAACAGAATGTTTTTTGCTTGGCACACAATGGAAGAGTTGAAATAAATTTGAATTTGGGGTTTTAAAACCCCTAGTACTTGCAATGTGAAAGAATTTAAGATCTGTTAGAAATTTATTAAACTAGAACCAAGAATTCTTCCTGATCATGCATCAGATGAAGGTTAAATGAGTTTGTTTTTTATTTGAAGGCACAAAGTTAGAGGGCAAATCTAAAATCAGGAGGTTACTTAAAACTTTTTTTGAAAGAATGAGTAAGATAAGAGAGCCATCTTCAGAATATCTGGTCTAGCATTAGCAAACTTTCCCTTGGCCCTCCGAAAGTTTGCTGAAAATCACTGACAAGATGCAGATTAATAGGACAAAAGGCAGACAAATTTATTTAACTTGTATACATGAGAACCTTTAGAATGAAGACCCAAAGATATAGGGGAAATTGTCCATTTATATGCTTAGATTCAACAAAGCATGGATAGCCGTGTAGAATTATGACTGGACAAAAAGAGTATTATCTCATGTTAATAGACTGAGTTGGGAAACCCAGCAAGGCCTGTCTGTCTAGATTCTTCTTGGCCTCTCTGAGCATGCACTCCTCCCTTCTGGGTGTGGGGCAAGGTTCTCTCCGTAATGGGGGTCTTATGACCTATAGTCAAACAAGGTAGGTCAGATAATTTCTTCATGGGCAGTTTTTACACAGAATATTTTTAAGTTTTATGGCTGGCTTTTAAGAAAAGGGGTTCTAGCTTCTATGAACCACTTTGGGGAAGAGGGATTCCAGTTTCTATGGCTAGCCTTGAGGGAGAATGGGATTGAGCGACAGGAGGCAGAAGGTCGGAGTAAACCTTTCGCTTTCGAGGCCTTCGTTTTGGGGTATTGTTTTCTGAGCCTCAATATAACCAATAGGCTAACTGTAGCTTTGAGTTGTATTTTTTACTTCTAAATTTGAAAAATGAACTAAATGTAAAAGTTGGAAAATTTCACATAAAAAACAGAATTTTCAGATTCTGTTGAAAAATCAAAATATCTGACAATGCTAGGCCCACATTCCCACGTTAGCAATAGGCAAGAACTGAGGTTGCGTATTTTGCAGGGTGCCTAACGCTCACACAGTGTATGGTATGTATTTACACCCAACCAGTTTCACTCCTTTTCTTTACCTTTCTGGCATCTATAAAAGTTAAAATTCACACCTATTGTCCAGCAGCCAAGATGTTCATATAGACATTGCTGAGGAACAGAAAATTTTAAACAGATACGACAATAGTACAAAAAAGTTCAACTGGGTAAGCAGTCTATATCAGAAAAAGATATATATACACATGCACACATATGTTTATGTAAATGTGTGTGTGTGTATGTGTGTGTTTATGTATATATATATAAAAATAGGCATGTTGGAACCCAGCCTCTGGGAGAAGGGGATTCATGGGAAGAAAAGAAAGTCAATGAGTAATGGAGGTACAAGATTTTTTTTTTTTTTTTTTTGGTTATTAGAAAACAGATACCAAACCCAGTTAGCATTAAATGTTCAATAACTATTTGCCACCTATTATGTGTCTCCATTGTGCTAGGTCATGAAAACCTAACAGGAAATAATATTCAGACTCTTCCCTTAATAATATTACAATAGAATTAATCAAATTCCATTTTTAAAATATGTATTAATTACTCATGATATGAAAGAAACTGTCCTAGGCTTTGTAGGGCATTGCAGAGTCGTACTATGAATAAAATAGTATTTCTATTCTCATGAGAAACCTACTAGATAATGAAATGAGCTACTGTTACCTGTAGCTTATGTATCTAAGAATAAGAGTCACAAAACAGATAACCTACGTACTAGAGATCTATAGTTTCTAAATCATAGCAGAACACACTACCTAGATACTAACCAAGCAAACTAACACAGACTTAACATCCCAACAGGTGGGTGTCAGCGTCTGGGTGGGAGGGAGGCTGCAGGTCTGATTTAGATGCATGTAGTTAAGGGAACCCAGGCAGGATGTTATAGCTCTGCCTGGGCAGCAAGATTCTCTGAAGTAGGTTTGTTGGTTTTGGTTTTTGTTTTTTTAAATAAGTCCAGCGAAACAGACTGTCACTCTCTTTCATGCATCGCACATGCCGTGTTGCCCTTGCAGTTCATCATCAGCATCATTAACCACTAAAATTTATGTGCAAAGTTCTGCGCTTGACGCTATACTGGAGCTAAAGAATTAACCTTCCTGGGAGCAGAATGAGTCCCCTTACCACGGTGTGAAAACCCAACCCAGGATAAGATAAACACAGCTGCACAAAACTAAATATCATATTTCAAACGATCCTTTAGTGTTGTCAGTTCTAATGAGTTTTCCTGAAAAGGAAGGGGGAGGGAAAATTTCCCTGGGAAGAAGAGACAACACTAAAAATGAGTTAACGAAACATTCACTCAGTAGAAACCATTCTTAAAAATGCAATAATTCTATATCTCTGTAGGGAACAATTAC